AACCTCCATCATGCTTTCCCACCCCATGGCTAGGCTTGTCCATTTTCCAGCTGTCATGGTGGTGGTGCTGCTTTTTGTCATTAGGCCAGCCATGGCTAGGTTTGCCCATTTCCCAGCTGTCATGGAGGTAATCCTGCTCTCTGTCAATGGGCCATCCATGGCTAGGCTTGTCCATTTTCCAGCTTTCATGGTGGTGATACTGCTGTTTGTCATTAGGCCAGCATCCCCCATGGCTAGGCTTATCCATTTTCCAACTGTCCTGGTGGGGGGACTGCACTTTGTCACTAGGCCAGCAACTTTCCTTTCCATGCTTCCTGCCCTCGTAATAGCTGCCACCAGAGGCGCGGTGGTTGTATGGCGGAGTTGGGATCCATTCATTAGGACGCACCATTTGCATGTTCGAATCACTATCGGAAGAACAGTAGCCCTTCATGAAATCATCCTCCTTCACATACACATAGCACTCCTGCTTGTAGCCATGCCCCGGGTATGCTTGCATTCTCGAGTTTTCTTATTATGTTTCTCTTTTTCTTCTTTTATAAAGTTGAATTGACTGGTGATTTTGAGTTCATATTTTATAGTGTTAGATTAAGATTCCAAATTGAAAAGAATAAATTGATGCTTAATTATAAAGCAAAATTTGACGGTGGTTTTATATGTGATTTGGCATCTACATTGAGGCAAGAAATTCTCACCACTTTATTCTCAACTCCTTAATGGAAAAATTCACTAATTCTGGATTGAATTGGACGGTGTTAGATGAGAAAATGACTTCAAATCTTGTATGTTGTAACGTCGAGTCTTATCATTAGAAAGGATCTTAACCCTGAGAGGTAGTTTAGTGTCAGGTTTTGGGTTTGTTTTTCAATGGGCACCAGTTCAAGTCTCTTCAAAGTTGCTGAAATGAGTACTCGACTGTAAACTTCAAGGTCTCGTGAGATTGTTCAGGATGCGAGTAAGTTGGTTCGGATACCCACGATCATTAAAAAAACAAAAAAAAAAAATCATTAGAAAGGATCTCAGAACTCTTGTGCTTGTTGCCAGGCATAGAATAACATTAAGTCTTATTCTATTTGGAAGACACCTTAACTTATGGCTTTTGACGCAACTTTATCTTATGGAATCAATTTCATGGTTGCTGGATCATTGCTGCATTTCAATGGTTTTGAGTTCACGTCTCGCCTTTTTCAATTTACGAAAATTGTGCTTCTATCTAACTTTTTACATAAATAAATTCACCTTGTATGTGAAGAGACGTGTAAAATTTAGACATTTAAAGGGTGTTTGATTCTCATTTTGTCTAAAATACATTTTTCTTTCTCTTCTTTTAAACAACATATTTTTCGATAAAATAATTTTACACATAAATTAAAAACTTTTCATTCTTTTTTAATCACACATTCTCCATTAATCTACTGTTCCAAAATACATTCTTAAAAAAGAATGTTGCTCAAACACACCCTTAATCTTTTTCTTATTTTCTATTTGATCCATTGATTACAATTGTTAATTACAACACATATCGTAAATAATTCAAGGACAAATAGCTCATAACCAAATGAGAGACGTATAACTCGCGTCGATTCATCTTCTATTCAATGTAGAAATAGTCAATAAATCACTGTAATAAAATATCAATAACTGCGCTGTTCTAACTTCCAAGTTGTAAGAAAACAATCAAGTCTTTATGGCTTTTGACAAAATAAAACACCTAATTTCCAAGTTTAATCAATCTAGCCTCTAATGATCATCCTCGATATTAGGCCTCGGACATCTAGTCGAGCTGATACCTTAGACATTTGACAATGGCCAAGCAAGTCATTTCTGGTTTACAAGTATCTTGTTTTTTTCATGTTAGAAAGTATTTTAGAGAGTCCTGATAGTGATAACTATCTTCATTGACAACGTAGTTCATTAATACATCTGTAACTTTTTGTATTCTTTTTTAGCAACCGGTTAAGTTATTAGTGAAGTAATCTACTTATTTTTTTTATCTTAAAGAAGTACAAATTGTGGGAGTGCTATGTATAATTTCCGAGTCTTGACATAAACTTTAAGTTGTAGTAGAAAATTAATGACATTTTTGGTACACGAACACAAATCTCTTTCTTAATCGTATCTAGTCAAGCATGATAAACATGTCATAAATGACCTTTGGATACAAGTAAGGATAACAATCGGACTCGTCGGTTCGAGTAGCTCGTGGCTCGGCTCGAAAAAAGCTAGAGCCCGCCCGGTTCGAGGCTCGGGTCGAGCCTCATTTTGGGGTGTCGGGCAAAGCTCGAGTCGGCTCGTGTGGCTCGCCAGCTCGGGCTTACAAGCCTATAATAATAATAATAATAATAATAATAATAATTTAAAGACAGCTGCTGGTTGCTGTCATGTTTAATAAATAAATAAATAAATAAACGAGCCTGCTAGGCTCGGCTCGAAAAGGCCCAAGTCGAAAGTTCTGGTCGAGCCTATTTTTTTGGCCGAGCTTTTACTCAGCCTGGCTCGGGCCCGAAAAAAGGCTAGATCATTTTACTCGAGTGAGCCACAGCCTAAAATTTCAGCTCGCGAACCGGCTCGGCTCGACTCGTTAACATCCTAAGTACAAGGTTCAAAGCTAACTTCAAATCATAAAAAAAAATCCTAATATATAGTTTTTGCTTTTGAAGCAACTCCATTGTAATTTGTACATGAGGTGATTTTAGAGTTATTAGAAGTAGAGTGCAAAATTTCTTCAAAATAATTCACAGATAAGAGGGGTTAATAATCCAAATATCACTAAACTTTGCAAAAAGTTTTCACATGGTCACTGAACTTTGAAAATCATTCAAATTATCACTAAACTTTGCAAAAATTTTACATGGGATCACTGAACTTCAAAAATCACTCCACTCATCATTGAACTTGTCAAAAAATTTACAAGGGGTCACCAAATTTTGCTAAAACATTCCCAGGGGTCACCAAATTCAATGATCATTGGGAAAGTTCTTACAAAGTTCAATGATAAATGAGATAATTTTTTAAGTTCAGTGAACTATGAAATTTTTTTGTAAAATTCAGTGATAACTTGGGTGAATTTTAAAGTTTAGTAACCCGGTGAAAACTTTTTATAAAGTTCAATAACCATTTGAATTATTAACTCCAGATACGAGTGTCTTTTAATTTTCAATTCCCTAGATTCCTTCTTTAGCCATTTAATTTTCAATTCCCTAGATTCCTTCTTTAGCCATTTAATTTTCAACCATACCCTGGGTACCAATTTCAAGCTTTTTTCTGTTTCCTTTTTATATATTTTTATCAAGTTGATTTGCATTCAGTGGTAGATCCAGCACCTAGTGAGCCCCGCGGCCCTCCGGGCTGGATTTGCCGAAACTCTTTTTTTTCTTTGCTGTAAAAGTATTTATATTTTTAGATATATTTCGGTGATTTGCTTTGATTCAAAACAAGCTTCCATTGCTCAGTTGGTTAGAGTACCATATAAGTGAAAGGGAGGCTTGGGTTCAACTCTCACCTCTATCCTTTTGCAATTATTTTAGTTTAATATTTTTCACCATTTTGGCGCAAATAGGCGTAAAACCGGTGCAAATGGAAGATTCGAACATGTGATCCCATTGGAATCATTCAACACTTGACCACTAGGGCTGTTGGTGAATACTGTTGCAGCAAAAGTCTATATATTCTTTTATCAAATAAAGATATGTATCCACTTTTTTTAGAAAAATAAAAAAATTTCAAAAAAAATTCGACCTTACAATGAGATTATTAAAAGAGTCATTTTTTTCCTATTAAACTGATATTATTAGCAAATCAAACCAAGAAAATAAATAATTGGACCATTTTTCAAACTTCAAATTGTTACTCGATAAACATTATTACGCTAGTAGATAATGTACACTCACACTTACAATTCGAACTACGATATATGTAATTTCAATTCATGGCATTAGTTATTATTGCGGCCGTCAATAGTCAACGGCCACCCGTGCTCAATTAAAATCATAGATTCGACAGTGTTTGCACTGCTTGGAGACTCTGAGTTTATATTTATATTGTTACACTAAGATTCCAGATCGATCCTCAATTATGCAGGATAAATTGATGGTGATTCTACATGTGATTTGGCATTTAGAATGGGGAAAGAAATTGTCACTTCTTCATTTGGGAACCCTTAATGAATAAATTCACTAATTTGAGAAATAATTGGACGGCGTTAGATCACAAGAAGAACTTCAAATCTTGTTTATTGTATAGTCGAGTATATCATTAGAAAGAATCCCAGTAAGTCTTGTGCTGTTTCACAGACACCTCACTTATGGTTTTCAACAGCACTTCATCTTATCGAATCACTTCATGTCATTGGATCAAGGCTACATTTCAACGGTTCTAAGTTCATGTCTCATCTATATCTATGTACGAAATCGTGTATGCATGTAACTTTAGATAAAAATTAATTGAGTTTTTATGTGAAGATTTTACAGCATTTAATCTTTCTTTCAGCTCGTAATTGAAATATTGACTTGAGATCATCCGATGTTCTATGACAGGCTAAAATCTAAGAAAGAACTGCCTGTATTCTTCTTTTCCACTGATTAACGAAGTTTATCTTACGTTGTATTCGAAATATTAATGTCAATTTGGTCTGCTGAACTCAAAATAAAATACGACATATTTTGTTATAGAATTTCTTTCTCAACCGTCTCTCATCAAGCATGCCAAATATCCCATAAACGCCGTTTGAGATCATGTTCAATTTGGCCGCGCTGTATCAGCATTTCTGATTTCGATTGAACTCACAAAACTTGACCACTTAAATGAAAGAAGACAAATCTCCCGACCATAGAAGAAACATATAACTCGTGTCTATTACCACTCCAGTGTAACAAACATGCACACGATGTTTCAAATAGTCGATAAGTCAGTTCAAGACTTCTAAATCGAATCTCAGCAACTATGCCAAAGACGTAACTAACAATCTAGCGATGGGGCTAATAGAAATTCTCACAACTATCGACAAAATAGAAACTTCATATCTATAAGAAACTCAGCACAGATCAGAAAGTGAGCAACACAATTCGTAAATAGAATATGTCCCAAAGGTAATCAAGAAACCACAATGAGTCTTCTGGGGGGCGATATTCGCAGATAATACATTGAGGATAAATTAGTACAGAATCCCGCAATTCTGTTAAAGAAAACTGGAATATTAGTAACATAGATACTCTCCATTATGCGTGAAAACCAGCTCAAAATCAAGTTATATACAAGAACACACTCTAGAAATCCAAGAATGTGCCCATTTTTTCCCGAAACATTTGAAAAGAATGATATAAATATGACCTGACATGTAGCATGATTATAAAAGCAACACACCCCAGTCAACGGTTAATCAATGAAAATCCTCCTTAGCCAGGAGCCAAAGCTGGACTCAACCTTCATGAAAAGTACACATATGGGATCCATAAATTCAGCCACTTTCTCGTATGCAATTTCCGGGCAAGAGAAATTTATATTCCTCGGGACTTTGTAAAAGATATGCGGGGAGATGCACGGCTGAGTATGAATGGGGAATTGGCCCCATTTTCCCAATTATTTCTCTAAAGGTATACTCTTCTGGTAGCATATCAAATAAATCAGCCCCTCGGCAGATTACTCTCTGGATTCTTCTAGGATTCAAATAATGAGAAAATCTGACACGATCCACATGACTGTAAGCTTTCATCTTGAATATGAACTCCTTAATGTGTCGGAAGCAAAAGCTACAATGCCACCCTGCATCTGCCAAAATGTCGTCTGATTGCCGATAATGTGCATACTTCGTCTTCCCAGATTGATATCTGTGAACTGAAGCTCTCCAGCTATTATTGTCAAGAAGAAACTCGAATGAATACAAATAGTTCTTCAACCGAAGATGGAGGATCGAAGGTATGTCATCGCACCACCTCAAGAGATTAATAGTATGTCTACTTGGTATCTCGTCAACATCTGACATTATTAGTAAGTCATCATCCTGAATACCAGCTTGTTTGAGAAGATAGTCCAATACAAGTCTCTGATAAGCTTCCTCGATAAATGGGTTTTCACCTTTCCGAAATCTCCCAGGAATTTGCCCATAAGTCAATCTTGAGTTGACAAACTTAAATCGATCTCGATTAGCAGCAAAGACGAAAGGCTTTGGGAGTCCAGTGAATGTTGAATTTGACTCAAGTAGAACAAACTCCGTCACATAAGGGTATAATTCCTTCCATCTTAGCTTGAGCATGTCCAGCTCATTGCTAAACAACACTGCATCAAAAACACGCCTTGGAAACTCACGTGTTCCCCAACCATGAAGTTTACAAAGGTTCTCCATCGGAACATTCTCATGATAATAGTGAGGAATTTCATGGAAGGGCTTAGGAGGTGACTCCCATAAAGGCCGCAAAAAGTATGTGATCTTTTGTCCATGCAAATATATAACACAAACGCATGTTGGTACCAAGACGAAAAGAAATATATAGGCCTTTATATCCAGCCCCCTAAGAATACACTTCAATCTCGCCATGCTCAATGTTCGAGCTGAATCCTGCATATTAAAATACCACATTCGTTATGACCTAAATGAAGCTCGTGTATCAAGAACAATATATCCATATTTGTCATCCAGAAAGTTCTCAATTGCATTATGGAATGAGAGGAAACATTTACACTACATTGAGAATATCAGAATCAAGAGATATCTATTTCTACTCATCAAAATTTTGCAAATTACAGAAACAGGGTTTTAATAAACCATGAACTCCTCACAGTCTAAACTATTTACAGATCTTAAGGACAATTGTCTTGAATTCCATCTATCAAAACATAAGTCAAAAGCATTCATGGGGAAAAAATAATAAATAAATAACTAGCAGGGGAAAGAGATCCTGAATCTTCAAAGAAAGTACCATACTTATTTTCTAAAAGCCCCTAAAATTTAAATTGTAAAGTGTGAAAATTCCAATTTGTAATATCAAACCCCCACCGCTCCCCCAAAAAAAAAAAAAAAAATCATTGAATT